ATAGAATAGTACAATAATTAAACAAGAAAGGAATCAAGTCTGTGGACGTCAAGCAGCTACCTTAATAGTCCCCAACAGAATTAACTTCGAAATCTAGTAGCCGTCGTATCCGGAAGCACTTAGATCTACACACGAGGTGCAAAGTGTAGTATGAGTACACTTAACTCAATAAGTAACAAAACTAATCTCTGGGCTGAAAGTAGTGACGAGCTCCGCATGTACAGTCCAATATAAATAATAGTACAAAAATGTAGGCATGCTTTCAAGTTCAACAGTTAAACTTAGTACAAGTGGAATAGATCAATACTGCATGATATGAGGAATATGACATCTCAGTAGAAAGACCTCACGTAAATACTGGTCACAAATTATTCGGTCACTCGGTATTATTTATGGCCAATCCAGGCTAGGGGTGTTCCAACCCATATATAAATACATATCGACTGACAGTCAGTCACTCAGTACTGTATAAGGCCAATCCAGCCCTGGGTTATTTATTCCCAAATGTAAATGATACGAACAAGATCTATGTCCAGGTAAATTCATTACAATATAAATAAGTAAGGCAAGTCCATACCCTGTATAATCCATCCCGAATATATATAATCATCTACGCTCATTGGGGGTGTGTGCAGACTCCGGAGGGGCTCCTTTAGTCTAAGCGTGATATAAAGCCTTTATGGCCTACTGCAGGCGGGCAATCCCGATCCGTATAATAATAAAGCCTATAAGGACTGATATAGGCGGACATCCCCGATACATAAAATAGTAAAGCCTATAAGGCCTACTACAGGCGGGCAACCCCGATCCAATAATAATAACGTATAAAGCCATTCTGGCCTGCTGCAGGTGGGCAGCCCCGATCCATTTAATGATCACATATATAAAGCCAATATGGCCTGCTGCGGCGCACAACTCGATCATATAAATATTCTCACAATGGACGAATATGACTGAGTGTGAAATGTATAATTTTGAAATAATTAATTCAATAACAACACGACCCTATGGGTCCCAAAGTATTGGAACATAGACTAAACACGATATTTAATAAGAGCCTCGGCTCAATTTCTCACACCTGGAATACGTTCAGATAATAACATGATTCATTAATTTTACAATTGCACAGGATTTATTCAAGACACAATTTCTGTGGTGCACGTCTACATGCGCGTCACTTATCGTGTGTGTCACCTCCAAACAATTTATATCATACCAAATTTCGGGGATTCATACCCTCAGAACCAAGATTAGAAGTGTTACTTACCTCAAACCGTGTAATTCTTTACTTCGGTATGCCTTTGCCTCGTGAATTGGCCTCCAAACGCCTCTAATATCGCTATAATTAATTCGATTAAGTCAATAAAATTTATTGAAATTAATCCCATAAGAAAATACTAATTTTCTAACAAAATCCGAAATTTAGCTAAAAGCTCGCATGTGGGACCCACATATCGGAATCCGATAAAAATTACAAAATTCGAAAGTCCATTCAACCACGAGTCTAACCATACTAATTTTACCAAAATCCGACCTCAACTCGACCTCCAAATCCTCAAATTTTATTTTCAAATCCTTAGGTTTAAATCCCCGATTTACACCTCAAAAACACATAATCTAGTTGGATTATTCGATGATAATTCAATATTATGGAGTAGAAATGATCAGAAGTGACTTACCTCAAGATTTCCCGTGATTTCTCGCTCAAGAATCGCCCAACCCGAGCTTGAAATGCCCAAAAATGGCAAAAGCTCGGAACTCCTCCAATTTTATTCTGTCCAGGGTCTGTAGCACCTGCAACTAGATTAGCCGTATCTGCGGTCTTGCAGGTGCGACGAAATGTCCGCATCTGCGATCATCCAGAATGCTCCCTCCGCTTCTGCGCGTTTCTTTTCGCACCTGCGACCTCGCAGGTGCGAAAATTTCTTCGCACCTGCGACCACTGCCCCTCTTTACGTCTGGTCGCTTCTACGATGGCTGGTGCACACCTGCGGCTTCGCACCTGCGATCAGTCCTCCGCAGGTGCGAAAATACTATAAGCAAAACTTTCAGCACTGGTTTTAAGTCCGAATTTGATCTGTTAACCATCTAAAACTCACATGAGGCCCCCGGGACCTCAACCAAATATACCAACAAGTCCTAAAACATCATACGAACTTAGTCGAGTCTTCAAATCACATCCACCAATATTAAAAATACGAATCACACATAGATTCAAGCCTAATGAACTTTGAAACTTCTAATTTTTACAAACGACGCCGGAACCTATCAAATCACGTCCGATTGACCTCAAATTTTGCATACAAGTAATAAATGACATAAGGGAGGTATTCAAATTTTCAGAATCGGATTTCGACCCCGATATCAAAAGTCAACCCCCCGATCAATCTTTCCAATAATTCGATTTTTGCCATTTCAAGCCAAATTCCACTACGGACTTCTCAATAATTTTTCGGACACGCTCCTAAGTTCAAAATTACCATACGGAGCTATTGAAATCATCAAAACTCTATTTCGGGATCATTTACACATAAGTCGATATCCGGTCACTATTTTAACTTAAGCTTTAAACCTTGGAACTAAATATTCCAATTCATTCCAAAACCTCACCGGACCCGAACCAATTAACCCGGTAAGTCATAAAATAACTGTAAAGTATAAATTGAGCAGTAAATAGAAAAACGGGGTGGTAATACTCAAAACGACCGGCCGAGTCGTTACAATATGATTCTAAAGGAGAAGCAAAGAAATAAATGAAAAGAAAATTATTTAAAACCTTTAATTATATACATATCCAACTGCTTAGCACATTAATGGACTTCACATGATTTTTTTCAATGGGAACTAATAGTGTTTTAATATATAACGATAGAGGTAAAATATTAGCAAAAACTATCGTTCCATTGTCAAATTTGCTTAATAAATTCGAGTTATAGATCATAATTAATAGGAAAAACTACACCGTATAATTTTTTTTAAAAATAATATCATGTAAATATATATTAAAATATTAATGTATAATAATACATATTTTTATATATAATCAATGTATATATTTTTATATATTTAACTAGCGAATATAATTATTTTTAGCCGACCGTCCAAATATATACGTGGCGGATTAAGAAAATAACACATGGCAAAGTTAAAGTCAAAAAATTGACCAGGTTAGTTCTGTTAGATATAGGGGTAAGTTTGAGCCCAAAAATAAATGTTAGAGGCATTTGCGGACCAAAAGATTAACGAGGGATATTTTTGAGTCATTTTCAATACGTTAGAGGTATTGTTGGCCCTTCTGTTAGATATAGGGGTAAGTTTGAGCCCAAAAATAAACGTTAAAGGTATTTGCGGACCAAAAGATTAACAAAGGGTATTTTTAAGTCATTTTCAATATGGGGTGTTGTTGACCCTTTTCCGTTTCCAATTTAGTGTTTCTTCCCCTTTGTCCTTGACGTGGATTTCCCCCCCCAAAAATTGTTGGATCTCACGTGAAAGCAAAACAGTTGCAAAATCTGAAATACAAGGAGCGAACGAGCTCTCATATCTCAAAAATCTATTTTACCTGAGAAATAGCAATATATAGTAGTAGTGGAGGTAACCTCATGCTTAATTTTATTTTTAATCATATATTGTAATTAGATATATTTTACTGGATTTAATTATGCGTATTATCTATAACTTAGATTATTTTCAAGTACAATGTTCTTATTTTAGTATGCATGTTGGTTTTTTTCTTTAGTCTTTTTAATTTTTTTGGTGAAAATATTTGATTTCTGATGTTGTGATAGTACGTCTACCTTTTACCCATCGTAAAGACAAAAAAGAAAATATAGTTTTAATTTGACCGGCTATGAGTGCACTAGCCCCCTTATGCAAAAGAAAAACAAAAAAACAAGTAAAAGAATTTACCAAACAAGCGTTCACTCAATCGCTTAAATTAAAAATAAACAGCGAAAATATAATATATATGCATAATTTTCGTTTAATATAGCCATGTAAAATCAAAATATAATTTACGGCAAAGGGCCAAATATACCCCTCTACTTTCGAAAATGGTCTAAAAATACCCCTCGTTATACTATTGGGTTATCTATACCCCTGCAGTCATACTTTGGGTTCAAATATACCCACCCCTCATTTAAACGAAGGGATACGTGTCATCGTCCTGTTGGTCAATTCTAAATACCTCCTAATTAATTAAAAAGACCCATTACCCATACCCGAAAAATATTTTTTTTTTGTAAAAACTGGAAAAAACTAATTTTTGTTTTACTAAAAACTGGAAAAAACTAAAATATTTTTAACTAAAAAATGAAAAAAAAGAAAAAATTTATTTTTTCAGTTTTTACAAAAATATTGCTTTAGAAAATTACTTTTTAGTTTTTTTTCAGGTTTTACAAAAATATTATTTTAGAAAATATTTTTCAGATTTTTTTAAAGCAGTTGTTTTATAAAAACTGAAAAAAAAAATATATTTTCATTTTTTTTTTCAGTTTTTAGTAAAAACAAATTTCAGTTTTTTTTAGTTTTTACAAAAAAATTTCTTTAGAAAATTGCTTTTCAGTTTTTGTTTTTCAGTTTTTATAAAAATATTGTTTTAGAAAATATTTTTCAGTTTTTTTGTAAAAACTGGAAAAAAAATATTTTCGTTTTTTCAATTTTTAGTAAAAAAAGAAATTAGTTTTTTCCAGTTTTTATAATTTTTTATTTTTTGGGTATGGGTAATGATTCTTTTTAATTAATTAGGAGATATTTAGAATTTACCAACAGGACGATGACACGTGTCCCTTCGTTTAAATGAAGGGTATATTTGAATCTAAAATATGACTGCAGGGGTATAGATAACCCAACAGTATAACGAAGAGTATTCTTAAATTATTTTTGAAAGTAGAGAATATATTTGGCCATTTACCATATAATTTATATATATTGACTAGGAAAAATAAATAATAAATAGGACCGGCTATTCGGACAAAGATACCAAAGAAAGTAGTATAATGTCCCATGTCCCATGTATGGGTCTGGCCCAAAAGTGAATTAGCCATTTCCAGGTTCCTCCGCCGGACTTCATTGCTGCATACGACGCCGACGTGACCCCATCCCGTGACTTTCGGTAATTGATATCTTGACATTCTATGTTCTGTGAACTAACTTGAACACTATTCTAGCTTCACATGTGTTTATAATCAATTTCATTAAGTCTAGAGTTTCCTCTGCTGAGGAAATCTAAAATTTATTTATATTTCCACTGCCGCGAAGATCATTTCTGTAAATTTGGATAAAAAATTGTCAGGAAAATGACTAGAGAAGAAGTTGATAATGGGAGAGACGACATGTTAATAGACGGAGATAAAACTGAACAAAGGAGGCTAAAAACGCCGTTCCAGATCGATGGAATCAATTCAATGCCAATTATCTAAAAGCTTATTACGGTAAATCTTTATTTTCGTGCATGTTATTACTTGTTCATTTGTACACTCACATATGGTTATGAGGAGTTTATTTTTCTCTGTTAGACACCTGTATATCCATACAGGGATAAGCCTGAGATTTGTAAAACCTTTAGTTTTTGAGAATTTTAATTGATATAATGCAACGATAACAACAACTATATGAATCCTCATATCCTTTTTTAAGCTCAACTCATATCATCATTGTTACTAAAATAAAACAAAAGTGAAAGTGAAGATGAAGATAATTTTTTTTTATTAATAATAATAATAATAATAATAATAATAATAATAATAATAATAATAATAATAATAATTGTTGATGATGATGATGGAAGTTCTCTACCAAGTCTAAAACCTATTCCCAACTAATAAGTAGAAGCTATATGGATCTTTCTCTTCTATTGTGCCCTATCTTTAGCTAAGTCTGCATTGATCCCAAGGATTTGTAGGTTTTTTTGTTTCATGTCATTCTGTATTGGAATAAAATGGGTCTGAGTAGATCAAGATGGATACAGGTGTTCCATCTTGTGAATTCCGACTAGTTTGTGATTGAGCCGCAAGTGACTGACTTCTCTGATGTCCACTTAACAGAATAGAAGTTGGCAGTTAATGTTGACGCAACAAACAGTTGCTACTTGAATGCTTGTTTTGGAATTGTTTATATGCCTCTTCAGGTTGGAAATTTTGAATTGCACTGTTTAAGTACAATCATATGTAAAATGTTCTTTTACTATCAATACACTCTGAAGGAAACCGTAGCATTTTCTCTGCCTTGAATGCATTTGAGTTTAGGAATTTGAAATTGATATAATAGAGCTACGTTGTGGCAAATTTCTACCTTCCCCAATCCCTCTTCCTCTGAGAAGAGGTCAGTAATTTTCTTCTGGTCTCCAAAACCATTTATGGATCCATATCTCAAGCTAAGTCTTCTTTGTTAGCAGGAAAGTTTTTCCCTTAATGTTGATATGTTCAGGTGGCTGTCTTATGCCAATGGTAAAAGCAGTTTCTCATTTCATATTCTATAACAGTGTGCTAATTGTGGGTTGGAAAGCATCCAGGTTGTGTTCACTTGGGATTTTTCTTTCACATTGGATAATTATCTTTACTTGCGATTTCAATCATTTTATACTGCATCCAAGCTGGAAAATGCTATCAAGGAGGAGTGTTGGACGTTGGGCCTGTCTGCAGCTTAGATGTAAGATCTTTGCAGCTGTCTTTCTCCCTGCATTGAAACTCCATTTTAGTGCTATGAACAAGGAAAAAGCTACTTATAGTTAGTCTGCTGCATTTGTTGCTATTATGTGTCTGAAGTAACTGGTTGTTAGTTCAGTTCAAAAGAAAAAGGGAGTTTCTTTTACCTGAACATGCATAATGGCTATACATATATTGAGTTAATTATATGCTTAGTCTCATACTGATGCTTCCCCTTAGCCTAAGCCCCAATTTCACGGTCTTCCTTCTTTGGTTTGTGAATCAGTAAGTTGTTTCAGCAGGATAGGTATATTTTGACCTTTTACTTAATACTTAGAATGCTTTCTTCTGTGCTTAAGCCTGCAAATTAAAGGCATGCCTATTCACAAGGCGGTGATAATATTTTCTGCCTGTTGAAAGAGACCTAGTTATTTATATTGTAAGCTCATCGAAACTGAAAATATCATTTTTTTCACAGAAAACCTGCCAATTCATGTTTCAGCTGAAAGTTTGCCACATACATATTTTACTGCAGGATATGTCAGATTATGATGATGTTAGATATTGCTGTTCAGGAGCTAATGTTTGTTCAGAGTGCTGATGGCAATTGCTATCAAGGTCATTGATACTTCTCTCAGAGGTACAGTATGACATGATAAACAAGCTGGTCTTTTGCCCTTTGATTTTTTATCCGGGAACAAATGTTGTATACACTCTCATTTTGTTGTTTAACAGATGACTTTGGGTTCAGCCAAATCCTGTGGGTATCCAGTGTTAGGCATGGTGTTCATTGTTGGGTTTGTGTCGAGAAGGTACTGCTCAACAAGTGTATTCTAAGATTGCTTTTTATTCTATTTATACTGATTGATGTGATCATTGTTCTAATATTTCTACTGTTCTTATAACCATCATCATAATCAGGTCGAACAATGAACAGAGGTCCGCAATTGTTGTCTAAAAGATACTTAGAGATGCTTTACATGCCTGCTAGCGGAAATTATGATAGCTTGAGGTTCTAACAGAAAAAAATATAGTATGTTTGGAGAATAGCAGTCAAGAAGGTTTCTCTAATGGGTCTCCCGCTTCATCCGTTCCTTGCGTAAAGTTTTATCCATCAATTTCCTCTTCTTTAGGTTTAGGTTGTACTCTTAGTCGTATTCTACTTTTGCAGGAAGTCGTATACTAAAGTCTTGAATGATTACTTTGAGAACAAACTGTTATCAAGTAAAGTTTGTTCTTGAATGAGGAGAGATTTTGAGAAGATACTGGAAATGATATCTGATGATTGTATGCAAGTTTATCTTTCATTATTTATTCTAATTCTTGTAAATCTCATTGAGTTTTTAGTGAAGTTGAGGTGATTTTGCAGCTCTTACTTCTGAGCTTGGGGAAAGGTGGCTGTCTAACAAGTGTTCAAAAGAAGAGATTAATGTTGCTTGCTGGGAACAACTAAAACACCTATTGCGATCCAGTTAACAGAATGTAGCAATCTTATACTAACTTGTACTTGGGGAAATAAAAGTTTTCAAATTGCATGACTCGAGTCTGGCCTAATTATTAGTCTTGAACCCATTTGCCCATTGAGATTCTTGTATTGTGTGTCGTTTCTCCAGAACTCAAGATCTATCACGTTCTTTTGCGAATTGAGTGAACCATGTTTTTTCTAATACTGTAGTAAATTAGCTAAAAGGTGTGAATGCATTTCTTGCTCTTGTAAGTTCTTATACGTGAAATTTGAACAAAGTGCTTTTTCAGTTCCTATTTTGTATTTTTCAGGTCCAGGGTTACATACAGTCTTATAAGTAAATTAGAGTTAATTAATATTTTTTTACCTTAATTTATACTTAACCATGGTAAATTAGTATTATTTAATGTAAGCGAGTAAGCTTTTACATATATTCATTGTCGCGAGTGACTTGCTGGGTGTTCCTATAGATTAAAATCTTAAGGCAAGATGAAAGGCAAAGAAAACAGACTAGGAAACATCAAGAATTGTTATATTCGTAAACATGGTTTAGATTAATGTTTTCTAATTTTTCTTTATGTTTGTTGGTCAAAGTGTTTCCAAGAAAACAAGTTCCTTAGAAATCAGGAAAATGACTTAGTGAGAGTAACTCCCCATCACCCTGACCCCACTCCCCCCGTCGCCTTCACCCACTCTCGTAGTGTTTTCCTTAATTATTCTACTTATTTAGAGCCCGTTTGGACATAAAAAAAAATTTCACTTGAATATGAATTTTGTAATTTTTTAAAAATTTAAAAAATTCCAAAAATATATTTTTCAAAATTTTTACTCAAATCACTCGCAAAACTTCAAAAATAACCAAAAATAATATTCATGTCCAAACACAATTTTTACTTAAAATTTTTTTTTACCTTTTTTATTAAATTTTACAATTCTTATGTCCAAACGCCCGCTTAGAAGCGGGAGTTAGCAGCTCTTCGTCGTCTGTAGGGGTATTTTGGTGCCACGATTCAAATGACTGTTATGCCCTATGTAATAATTTCTGACTTCATTCTTTCCCTGGCTTTTGTGTAAATAAAAGTAAAAAACAAGGGCAACACTAACCTAAAAAGGCGGCCGTACCGACGGACCCATCATATTTACAAAGCAATCCGTCATGTTTGACATGCAAGTTCACCCTCTCTCTCTCTCGTTCCCGGATATACCCTCTTTGTTGTTTGCTTTGGAATTGAAGGAATTTCTGGGCTGCATATGTAAGATTTTCTAAAATAATTCTTGTTTGTTGCTTTATTTTTTAATAAGTTTGTGTTTGTTCCGATTTTACTGTTAGTCGAATTGAAGGTTTTGATACTAGCTTCGATTTAGATTTCTTCTCGCTATAGGGAAGAGTGTCGTCATAGAGAATTTAATTAGAAATGGTCAAGGAATTGTTTGGAGCTTATTATTAGAACATTTAAATGAAAAAAATATGCTTCATAATCTCTATTTAGCATTTCCTGGGGTTTAGGGCCATTTCTTCAATTGGAATGTAATTATGTTTGTGTTTCCTTTATGTTTTGGGATACTAAGGATTAGAATGCATTTTTTTTTTCAATTTTAAAGTTTTGGAATTTCATGTCAATCTGAGAATTGTTTTTTGATAATTTTCTCAGTGTCTGAGCAATCCTTTAATCTTCTGTGAATGAAATCACTGTTGAGGGAGGTCTAATGTTTCGTCCCCCAGTCTTGTGAATGAGATGAGAACGTTTATTGAGTTGTTAGCGAATGCATAGAAGCTGCTTGATAAAATAATCTTGTATGCTTATATCTAAACCCCCTAACGGTAATCGTTCAAAATTCTTTTTTTCTTATTAACTGCAAAGGAAAGGGAAAGAACTGCTAAAAGATTCTGAGATTCTGCTTAACAACATGACCTGGCAACATAATAAAGTGACAAAATATATCCACTTCTCTGGAACTTGCTCTTGGTAAAATGCAAGGAAGTTAGATTTGTCACAATATTATGTAAGTTAGATTTGGTTGAGGTTCGCCACACTTAGCCTTGTCTATTAACTGTGGACCATGAAGAATGCTACCTTATATTGAGGCTGGTTATAATATACTCCCTCCATTCACTTGGACTTTGCACACCCCTTAAGAAATAATAAATGGAGTGCATAATTTACCATGATACCCATATTAATTGATGCATATTTTTAATGGATTTGAAAAAAGGATTTGAAATGAGTAGTTAATACTGTGGGTATAACAAGAAAAAAGAAATTGTCTTCTCTTGATATGCTAAAAGTGACAAGTAAAAGTGTCTATTTTTAGAATACTTGACTAGTAAAAGTGAACGGAGGGAGTAGATGATTACACTTCAAAATGATTAATGATTTCAGCAACTATGCTTGTTGAACCTTCTGAATTAACAATTGATAAATCCTACTTCGTCTGGTACCTTGAATGTTAATTATTTTTTCATGTCGTGATACGTGAAAGCTAGAAACAAATGAGGTTTATTGTGCAGCAGATGAATTGGCCAGATAACAGTGATGGAGCTTGGGCTAGACGTCGTCCTGTTCAGAATTTTATTAGAGAAAGGTATATTTGCTAATTATAAACCCCTCCTTTTCTTGAGAATACATGTACGAATATGAGAATATATTGGTGCTTTTAATTTGTTATCAAAGAGCAAAGTGTTGGATTATTTTCATTCCCAAATTTTCAATGTTTGAGGTCAGGGAGTTCCATTTGATATGAAAGCTACAAAGTAATCAACCAAAGCGACTAAATGCAAGTAAAGATGCTTCCAAGGGATAATCTATTGATAAATTTTACAACTTGAGAGATAACTTACCATCCTCTTATATTAGGAAGAATAAACTTCTATATAATTTTAAGGGCAAACATATGTGGTTAAATTGATATGAAGGATATAAAACATCTGTTGTCCTTTGTCCATACATCAATATCAGTTCAGCTTTGACTTCCGTTGTCTATTTAATTTTTAGCTGCAAATACAGTAATATCAGTTGTCTTTTTTCTTTTGGTTGTTTTCTTTTTTTGATAATATATAGTGAAGAGAGATGGAATGAATTGAATTCCTGTTTTATGTTTCATCTCCCGTAGTTGTAGTGATGTAGTAGCTTACAAAATTGGAAAAGGCATTACTTGGTGCAAACTGTTTGCATATATGATCCTCGTCAATATGGTATGTGGTAGTGAAAAGGTTGTACACTATGGATGATGGTCTTGTTTTTGAAAAGGATCCAAATATACCATCAGAACAAAATTTGCCTACTTGAGTATGTTGTTGTCCATTGTTCAACTGGAAAATTTTAAGGTGGAGTCTGGACAATTATTAGGATAAAGTTTATATATTTGTGCCAGGCTCCTCTAACATACCTCTGCTTTATGCTTTATTACTTTGGCAGTGTGGTCCCTTCCTAATGGGTGATTGGTATGATTCAGCTTGAATAACCTGAGAATGAGGATTTTTTTGCGATAAGCAAAAATACCTGGTAATATAGCCTATTAACCAATAGGTGTAAAGCTTACACACAAAAAAAGAAATTATGCCGAACTTCCTTTCCAATTTGATCAGTGTTAATAGCTAAATACTAATCATAATTTTCCTTTCTTGTAAAGCTAGTCAAAGTCATCTATGCTGATATGGGGTCTTTGAAAAATCTATAAGACCAATGAATTTAACTGCTAACATTTCATTGAAGTCCAAAAGTTTCAACATATCACTCCATCTTTGCTATGCAAGTGCCTTGACAATGGTGCAACCAAATAACAGGACTCTATGGTAATCTAGAAATATAGAAAGCAATGTAATAGAGCAAATTCGAGAATTATTTTATAATGGAATTGCAGTGTTCTTTAGTAGAGATGGATTCCTAACTACAAAATTCTTCCATTATTGCATATGTATCTTGTTTTTTTAAAAATCACTCTTGTGTACTATCTTTAGATCTCATTTAGAATTGCCTCCTCGAAATATTTTTATACACGAGATAAATTAGGGTTAAGTATGACAGCTAACTAACTTAAACAATAGAATTACCATATTGTTGTCTAGTAAGCTTAATTGAATGAGAGTACCTTGTTGATAAAAATTTCTCCTATATCATCAGAAAGCACCGAGTCTAACTCGGATACTGCTTTATGCTTTATTACTTTGGCAGTGTGGTCCCTTCCTAATGGGTGATTGGCTAAAGTGACTGTTGTCCAATTTGTCATTGGTAAGCATTTTTACGTTGCAGCAGGAAGAGCACTTCGAAATGGTTCCACAAACATGGATGTCTTAGTTGTAGTGGGAACTACAGCTTGCTATGTTTACTCTGTATATGCACTACTTTATGGTGCAATTTCTGGATTCTGGTCTCCAACTTACTTTGAAACAAGTGCCATGTTAATAACATTTGTACTTCTGGGAGAGTACTTGGAAACTCTTGCAAAAGGAAAGACATCAGATGCTATCAAAAAGCTCGTAGAACTGACTCCAGGTACTACTATATTGCTTGTCAAAGGTAAAGGTACATGTATTCATAATTTCTTTTATTGTTTCAATAACAGTGCCTACCAGGTTTTTTCGGTCAGAGATGCGATATACTACTGGCAAATGTATGTAAACAACCAACAACTTTTCCCAAAGTGAAAAAACCAATTCTGATAACAATGGACTCACTTTGAAGTTATGTTTGATCTGTCTATAGGTGGAAGAGTCATAAGTCAAAGAGAAATAGATGCTTTGTTGATTCAACCTGGCGATGTACTAAAAGTGCTTCCTGGTGCAAGAGTTCCTGTTGATGGCGTGGTTGTATGGGGTTCAAATCATGTTAACAAGAGTATGGTAACTGGAGAATCTGTTCTTGTTCTGAAAGAGGTCAATTCAGTAGTCATTGGTAGTACAATCAATTTACATGGTTCGCTTCACATACAGGCTACAAAAGTAGACTCTAACACAGTCTTGAGTCAAATTATATTGGTGGTTGAGACATCACAGACGTCAAAAGCTCCGATTCAGAAGTTTGCTGACTATGTGAGTATTATTTGGCATGTCTTTTGTCAAAATAGTGTCATGACACTTGCAAATTAACTGTTTCAGTGGTGTTGAACTTTATTATATCTGCTTGCTCTAGGACAAATTACCGACGGCCTTGGAAAAGCATTTATGAATAGAATTCACGAATTCTAAGAATGCCCAGATAGGAACTATAAACCGCCTTTCTTTCCGTTACATATGCTCCATTGTATGCTGTCAGATGTTCTCCCACCATTTCTATCTAAATGTTGTTGGAGACTCTTATGATTTATCCTCATGGATCTGGAAAGTGGTGCTCTGCGAAGCATGTTTCAATGTCTCAGTTTATTCTTTTGACCACATCAAATATTAGAATGCCGAAATGAGTTTTCAACAGTTTTGAGTAGCTGAAAATCATATCAGTTTAGGTTCGACTAATGAATTCTTTATTTTCAGTTTACTTATTGTTTCTTGACCACTAACATATGCTATTGAAGTTGTATAAACTCCAACCCTGTAACAAATTCACTCTTTACGTAGTCCCTTTATCACTGACTTTTTAAATAAAAATTCATTTCATTAGCAAGAAATGACAAGGACAGTGAAGGATAGAGTTTGAGCCATGGCCATTGATGTACAAAAATCTACCAAGTGTGATCTGCGATGTAATTTTTTTTTCTTTTTTTATTCACTCCTCATCACCTTGCTCTTGGGGTGATTCGAACTCGTTGGAACTGAAGGGTGCTCACTACTTGAGCAACCTACTCTTATCTTAAACAAAGGACTTGAAATCTAATATTACAATTGAAAGTCTACTACACAAAAACAACCAAACACAGAAGCAAATCGTCTATAGAAAGATCTATTGAATCATTAATACTCTCTTGACCACTCATCTTAAGAACCAAGAAAATTAATTTTTAAGAAAAATATTTTTAATGTACCCAATACAATATATTAAATAGATACTTCATCTGCTACTGTAGATAGACTGAAATTTTTAATCATGCCAAATCTTAACCTATGAGAAGATACCAAAAATAAATAAATAGGATTAACTCTACTTTTCACATTATCATTGGTAAGGAGCAAATCTGACTTCTGGCCTCATTGACTTCACCATTTCATGCTACATGAGTCAATACCAAGTAAAAGATATGAGCTAAAGATGATAGATGCATTAACTCATTTCTCTACTGGCCTACTCGATCAAAAGCTCTAGAAGCATAGACACCACTGCTAATAAATGTGGAGTTGCAATATTGCCACAAAGGACTATATCCCAAATAACACATAAACTCCTGTATTACAGTTCCTCCACAATTTGATCTTAATATACTCTATGAAAAATTATCCACTAAAATAATATAAAATTTTAACCTAATACGTTCGGGCTCGGGCTCAGCACGGACCAATCTCCACTAGTATATAAATATTCTTGAGATAATATTTTTTACTTACCAAAGATTAGAAAATAAGTTAAAATTTTTTTTTATTTTCGATAGAATATTTTCTAAGAAAATATTTTTCGTAAAAAACATTTTCCTTCGTAGAAAATGTACCCCAAGTGTGCAACAAAGAGGATAATAAGGTTAAGTTACAAATAATAGAGTAGCTAAACCCTAATGCATAGTTACTTAGGACCAAATGCCATGACTTTTTGCTTAATAGGAAGGAAAATCGAGTTTCTCGTTTACTTTATTTATAGTCTATAAGAACGTATTTTATACCACATTGTAATAGAAGTCAGCATTAATTTTTAAAGACTAATTATTACTTGATTAGTATTACATTTTTAATGTGATTTTGATGGCTAAAGGTATAATAGCTCCTTTTGTGTAACACTATAATTTTCCAAGTCTAATTTGGCATGGATGTTAAACAAAGTTTGGAAGTACATTTTATGGCGATTGAGCTAGTACTGTTTGGACATAAATTTCTCGAAACTTGAAAAAAGAGTGTAAAGTTGTGTTAAAAAATAATTTTTTGGAAGTTGAAGTTGTATTTGGACATGTATTTAATTTGAAAAAAAAGTTGAAGTTGTGTGAGTGGAAGAAAAATTTTGAAAACTTGATTTTTTTTTTCTTTTCAAAAATTGATTATATTCTACAACAACAACATACCCAGTATAATCCCACAAGTGGGGCCTGGAGAGGGTATTGTGTACGCAGATACCCCTACGTGGCGAGGTAGAGATATTGTTTCCGATAGACCCTCGGCTCAAGAAAAGGTGAAAAGAGAGAGAAGGGAAGAAGATGAAGAAGAAAGAGGAAGAAAAAAGAAAGAATAGGGAGACAAAGGACGATAAGGAAAAGGGAAAAAAGACGACGACGACAACAACAATAACAAATATAACAACAACAAAACAACACGTAAAAGAAAAAGTAGCATCAAACAGTAACAAATTAGAAAATACAATACACGGAGCGAACAAAACAATAAGCAGATACTAGAGGTCAAAGAATACGAAAAAAATAAGAGAGCTACTAATACTACTAAAAAAGAACGGGGAACTCTCGACTACCTACTAGCCTACTACCCTAATCCTCGACCTCCACACCCTTCTATCTTGGGTCATGTACTCAGTGAGATGAAGTAGCGCCATGTCCTGCCTAATTACCTCTCCCCAATACTTCTTCGGCCTACCTCTACCCCTTCCCAGCCTCATCATGGCCATCCTCTCATACCTCCTAACAGGAGCATCCATACTCCTCATCTGCACGTGCCCGAATCATCTCGGCCTCAACTCCCGTATCTTGTCCTCCACGGGGGCCACTCCTACTCTGTGCCAAATAACTTCGTTCCTAATCTTATCTCTCCTGGTATTCTCACACATCCATCTCAACATCCTCATTTCTGCCACTTTCATCATCTGAATATGAGAATTCTTGACTGGCCAATACTCAGCCCCATACAATATAGTAGGTCTAACCACCATTCTGTAGAAATTACTCTTAGGTCTTGGTGGCACCTTCTTATCACACAAAACACTGGATGTGAGCCTCCATTTCATTCACCCCTCACCGATACGGTGGGAGACCTCATCATCAATCTCCCCGTTACCTTCGATTATAGACCCGAGATACTTGAAACTACCCCTTGTCGCGCCCCGTTTTCTCGCGGAAGCGGGCTTCTATGATTGACAACTCTTTTAAATGGGTATTAAAAGAGAAAAGTCGCCACCTAACAATTTTTAAGGTGCGTTAGGGAACCTATTTGAAAATAACTTTGTTTGACTAGTCAACACCACCAAAGATCGGGTAAGGGCTCAAATTACCTCAAAGAGAAGGTGTTAGGCACTCTTCGAGGTCCACAACTGTGGGTCCCGGTCGAAGTTTAAACTATGTGGATTGGATAATTAAGCTAGGTGATCAAATAAGCAAAGAAAGATGTAGAAGTTGAAAGCTCTATAACATAAGAATTAACTATATGACTAATTGATACAAGTCTTTAAAAAAATCACAAGGAGCACAATTACGCTGATCTATGACTAATGACTAAATGCGAACAACAAGCATATAAAGAAATGGGGGTGCTAAGTATTTTAGCCTAAAGGATCACCCCGTACAACATAAATAATACTTCGCAACTCCCTTGAGGTAGGGTTGTTGATATTATTCAGCGGGAACAGACTATCATCTCCTGCTACCCAATTACTATGTTGAAGTTATTACTTAAAGGTTCTCTAATTCAATTCTAAACCGTATCCTATGTGTGCACTACCCGTCCTATGCCTATGGTCCATGAAGCTTTGGACCTACTATTAGGTGGTTCTAGACTTTACTTAGGCTACTCAAAATGGTAAAACTAATCACACATTCAAAACAAATAGGACTGCACATAATAGCAATGAGTGGCTCATGTTAGCCTCCACACATAATAGCAAAGGCACGCAAATGGATTTCAGGTTATACAGTAGATATATATTTTTTAGTCGCATTAGAATCATTAGGTCTATTAGCATGATTTCTATATGATTCCGATTTCCAGTATTATACAGGCAATACTGCAACTTTTAGGCTAACATATAGGCAGATTAAAGCGTTACAAGTCCTATAGGCATGATTTCTAATTGTTGCATAATAAGGCAGTGAAGTCGCTTGAAAACACAGGATTAGCAGCATCGATAAACAGTTTCTTATGTAAATCATGACATCCTATAGGCAGGATTTCTAACAATTGACAATTAGGCTTGATTTTATAACACTTTATCCCTATAGGCATGTCATCTAAGTGAGGCAGTATAAAAGTAACAGAAAGCAGTTGATCAATTATTAAAATCTTATAGTCATTATATCTAGATTAGTGAAGGCATGTATTATCGTATCCTATAGGCATGCTATCTAAAGGCGTTGAGTAGTAGACATGGAAACAAGTGTAGCAACATATTTTGACAAGTTGAGTGAAGTGTGTGCGTAATTCCTATAGGCATGATTCCTATTAGTGTGCGACACACACTAAACGAAGCAACAAATAAGGCATGTTGGGCGTAATAGCAAATAGAACACATAGACCCTATAGGCATGTTTTCTACCATGTCATGCAGGTATTAGAATACCCCAGCCCCTCTTTATTAATTTCCCCATCATTTGTTATTACAAGTTATTACATACCATATTAATGATTACATGTCCAAATACGAATACAGAATAACCCAGTAATACATCTGGGCCTTCAAACAAGCTTAGGACTTCATATGGACTGCATGCCCAAACTCCAGATGCAGACAATGCATTTCAGACTTTCAGTACCACAACAGGTCCAACATACAAGGCCCAAACGAATAACTTACTTACCCAAATGGATGCCGAATTCAGCCATACAGGTGACAAAATACTTATAGAATTTAACTGAACAGCTAAAACACTTAATTCTTATAGCTATAGTTAACAACATCTCTAGTCAAGACATATAAACAGGATCATGGTAAATTGAAAGGTACGTAAGACACATATGAGGCAAGTTTATGCTTGTAATTACAGAAAGAAAGTTTAAGCGTGCCAGGATTGACCACCATAGGATAGTAAGCCATTCAAAAGAGTTTCAAAATGAAGCATGTTTCAGAATCAACCTGTAGAACCTTAGATCACAGACAAGAAACAAACAAAGCACAACCTTTAAATGAAAGTGTCTATCAAGAAAAACCTAATGAAAGGGACAGCATAACAGAACAAGTTCATGATCAAGCAATTACTTAACTCCAGCATGCTGAAAATCAGCCACAATATAAGAGGCATGTCAGTTTCCAGAAGCAAGTATTAAACCTGGTACTAGTTGGCCACATATAGAAGGAGAGGCTAGTTATGAGATTTATCTTAAGGTCTCAAATAATACTAAAGAACACAGGATTGCACAAGTCAAAGACATACACTAGAACTCAAATGATATAGAAACAAACCTTAGTTAACAGTCCAACCTCAGGAACTTAGCAGGTTGGACAGGAGTGACTCGACAAGGTCTAAAACACATGAATTGATTTATCATAAAGATACAGAACAAGGCAAGGAGATGAATTCAGGATGGGTAGAAAGTATAAACATTCAAACACACAAAAAAACATACTAGTATGGGCATGCTTAAAGTAGTGAGAATCATTCATGCTGGACACATATAGTAGGCATATATCAGAGTAAGAAATTGGACAAGCTCCGATGCTAGCAAAGTCCCGAGTCAGAAAATAACAGGGGTAACACAGTAGCATATATATTCACAAGGTTTAAGTGACATAGATGTACAAAGCATAAAAAAAGCAAGAGATAATGAAATTGTGAGAATCAAAGGTACTTACTGGCTACAAATTACGAACAAGCAAATGAGAAGAACAATTTCCAGCAGTAATTCGATTAACAATAGCGAAGAGCAGCAGAATCCCAAAATCCCAGTGCGTTAGAGTTCTCAAGGGTTTCAAATGAACCCCAGGCAGTGCTCACACTGAGAAAGAACACAATCGAATTCTAAAGGCCTTGGCTTTCAGCCGACCAAGGTCTCAAGTTTCAGAGTATAATAAGTGAGAGTGAATGAATAATACAGTGATTAAGGTCTGTCCAAAGGGAATCAGAGAAGGGGTTTATATAGTAGTGAAATTCAAACGAACAAATAAAGAAAACCGTCAATCAAACATAATAAAGGAAAGAATATCATGCAAAAATCAATTTCGAATTAGATTAGGAGAAAACCCAAACAAATCCTAGTTCAACAGAAATCAAAAATCGACCAAATATCTTGGTGGATCGGCCCCATATCACCTTGCTATGAATGTATACATACGGAATACCATCTAGATCTTGAAGATTGAAGATGATTGTACACGATTCAGGGCCTGGTACTTGCCAAAAATAGGCAAGTATTAGGTGATACCATAATCGTGTAAGTAACAAAGAGACAGATCATATATGGAAAGAAAATCATGGAGGGATTCCATATTAAGGTCGGAATCGGAGAGGATTAAGGGATAAGACGGCTAGGGTTTCTCAGAGAAGAAGAGAATAGAGAGGATTCAAGGGCGGCGGTTAGGCGGAAATGTCTCTAGGGTTTGGGTTAGGGAGATATAAGGAAATGAGAAGGGTTATTGTGGTCCGTTGATCATCTAAGATCAAAGGCCATGATTCAAGGGGAAGTGGGGCGGGTTAGGAGATGGGTATAGGGTAATGGGCTACTGATACTGGGTTAAAGGGGTATTGGGCCAAGGTTTTGGTCCGAAAATTAGCCCTACATTAGGCTAAGAATTAAATACATGAAAATCGTTTTAAAATAATTTATAAAAAAATCATTAATAAATAAAAATGTTACTTATGCAGTAAATGCTTGAAAATAATAGCCTAACATTATAAAAATAAAAAAAATGCTGTTTTAGCATGAATAATATAATAAATGTAATTATGCATAGGATATAGGCTATTATTGCAAAATTATGTAAATAGCTCAAAAATACAAATATAATTATATGAAATGAAGTAAAAATATTATAAAACATATATGTGGATGTAAATAATGAATTTGAATGATTAAGTCATTACAAAGTAATTTGAAAGGGTAATTAATAAATATTTGAACAATTTAAATGCAAAAAAAAAAAAAAAAAAAATCAATTTTAAAGCTTTGAAAATTATGGAAAATACTTATATGACCCTTGTAAATTAGGTAATAATGCAAAAATGATATTTTGAAAGTATATAGGATATTGATATGAATATGAGAGCAAAATTGGGTATCAACACCCCTCCTCGGGATGACTTGGGTATCAAGTTTTACATACATGTCCTATTCATGAGTCTTGTCACTGAACTTACGCTCCAAGTATTCCATTTTGGTCATGCTCAACTTGAAACCTTTGGACTCTAGGGTCAGTCTCTAGACCTCCAGCCTCGCGTTAACCCCACCTATCGTCTCATCCATCAACACTATGTTATCGGAAAATAACGTGCACCATGGCACCTCCCCTTGAATGTACCGCGTCAGCACATCCATCGCCAGAGCAAATAGGAACGGGCTAAGAGCCGATCCCTGGTACAACCCCATCACTAATGGAAAGTGATCTGAGTCACCTCCCATTGTCCTCATCCGAGTCTTAGCACCATCATACATGTCCTTGATTACCCTAGTGTATGCTACCAGAACGCTGCTAACCTCCAAACATTTCCACAGAACCTCCCTCGAGACTTTATCGTACGCCTTTTTTAGGTCTATAAACACCATGTGTAGGTCCTTCTTTCTCTCCCTATACTGCTCTACCAATCTCCTCATCAGATGAATGGCTTCCGTCGTCAATCACCCCGGCATGAATCCGAACTGATTCTCCTCCTCACCCTGACTTCCACCACCCTCTCCCAAACTTTCATGGTATGACTCAGCAGCTTGATACCCCTATAGTTATTGCAGTTTTGGATATCATCCTTGTTCTTGTACAAGGGAATCATCGTACTCCATCTCCATTCTTCGGTCATCTTCTTCGTCTTAAAGATAACATTAAACAATCTAATAAGCCACTCCAAGCCTGCACGACCCGCACTCTTCCAGAATTCTACCGGGATCTCGTCTGGCCTAGTCGCTCTACCTTTGCTCATCTTATGCATCGCTCCCATAACCTCTTCGACCTTAATACGCCTACAATAGCCAAAATCACGCCGACTCTCGGAGTGATCCAACTCACCCAGCACAATACTTCTGTCCCCCTCCCCGTTCAACAGTCTGTGGAAGTATGTCTGCTATCTTCCTCTAATATGAGCGTCTTTCATCAATGCTATGTCGTCCTCATCTTTGATGCACTTCACTTGGTCCAAGTCACGAGCCTTTCTCTTCCTCACTTTGGCTAACCTGTACAACTTCTTGTCCCCGCTGTTGCTCCCAAGTTCTTCATACATGCATCCAAAGGCAGTAGTTAGCCGCCGTAACTGCTAACTTCGCCTCTTTCTTTGCCTTCTTATAACATACCCAATTCGTCCTTTTTTCCTCCTCGCTTGTGCTCTCCACTAGTTTCAAATAAGCCGCTTTCTTGACTTCAACTTTACCTTGGACCTTGACATTCCACCACCAATCCCCTATACGTCTCCAAGTGTATCCCTTTGTAACCCCTAAAACCTCTCTCGCAGCTTCCCTAATGTTTCGTTGTCATGGCCCACATCGCAATCGTATCCCCACTATTCTTCCAGGCCCCCATTGCTAGCAACCTCTCCCCAACTCCTGGGCTTTGTCCTTAGTCATGTTTTCCCACTTGATTCTAGGTTGACTGCACATTGCTCTCTTCTTTCTATTCCTCTTGATCCCCATATGCATTACTAGGAGCCTATGTTGGGTCGTGAGACACTCACTCGGTATGACCTTGCAATCCGTGCAAAGACCTCTATCACATTTCCTGCAGAAAAAATAGTCTATCTGAGTCCTGGCCACCGTACTCTAGAAAGTGACTAGGTGCTCCTCCGTCTTTGGAAAACTCGAGTTAGCTACCACCAAATAAAAAGCTCTAGCGAAATCCAACAACGAAGTACCTCCCTTGTTCCTACCTCCAAATCCGAACCCTCCATGCACATCGTCATAACGCCCAACATTAGCCCGGTCATTGAAATCCCTTCCAATGAAAATCTTCTCGGTGCGCGGAATACTACGCACCACTTCGTCCAAGTCATCCCAGAATTGCCTCTTGACCTCCTTGCCCAAGCCTACTTGAGGAGCATAAGCACTAATCAGACTTAAAGTAAGCCCCCCAACCACAAGCATAACAGCCATCACCCTGTTGCTTACCCTCCTAACCTCGACCACTAGCTCCGTAAGATCCCTTTCAACTAAGATACCGACCCCATTCTTGCCCCCAACACCTCCATAGTACCACAGTTTATACCCGTTAACATCACGTACCTTAGTACCCTTTCACATGGTCTCCTGGACACACGCTATGTTGATTCTTCTTCTCTAAAGAATCCTACTCAACTCTATAGTCTTACCCGTCAACGTCCCTATGTTTCAGGACCCAACTCTCAGCCTAGAAGCTTCCTTGTCCCCCTTCCCACCCTTACCCGAGGACATGACTTTACTCTCACATCGTAAACCACAACTACTATAGACTAGGGGCACTACTTAATCACTATCACTCAACCAATAGAGAGCTAGAATAGAGGAAAATATGCTAAGAATATGAAAACTTAATAAGTTAAAAGTGTCAAGAATAAGTACAGAAACTCAAGCAAGTATTAACACAATTAATCTACCTGAAGAGACAGATGTAACATGCAAGGTTGAATTGAATACAAGGCACTACCAATAAAGAAAATATGCTAAGAATATGAAAACTTAACGAGTTAAAGGTGTCAAGAACAAGTACAGAAATTCAAGCACGCACTAGCCCAATTAATCTACCTAAAGAGAAGGCAAGGTTGAATTTAATACACTGCACTACCAATAAAAAAGCAGGCGGATGTAACAGGGAACAAATAAACTAAAACATTGCAACTAAAAATGGAGAGATAGAACCCGAAAATCGGAGAGCTGGCCGGAAGTTGGGTGGTTGATTCCGCCGGAAAACCCTAGGTAGTGGTCGCCGAAAATCTTCCTGAAGGTGTCGCCGATTGTGGGATCACCGGCGGTGACCTAGTATGCGGTTACCTGTGGCCGCAGAGACTGCAAACGGAAAGAAGAAATAGACGGGAGGGAGGAGAAAAGAGTGAAGGCTGCCAGAAAAGAATCGCCAACAGTGTGTCGGACTACCCTTATCTAGGGTTTAAAAACTTAAAGAGGGTAAAGAAAGAGACGAGGAAGAGAAAAGAGGCGATGCAGGAAGAGAGGAGAGAGAGACGAGGAAGAGAAAAGAGGCGATGCGGTAAGAGAGGAGAGAGAGATGAGGAAGAGAAAAGCCAATTATATTCTATGAACAAATATTGTTTTCAATTTTTTTTTTTTTGTAAAAGAAAAGATAGCTAAAATCTATAAACAAACGGGAGCTCAATGTGTAGTTAGAAGAATTAGAAGACATCTCAATGGGATATCTCTAGATTGAAGGGAGAGCTTTGAAATTATTTGATCTCTAACTAAAAGAAGAAAAGACCTAAAGGAAAGTGGTAAACAGGTAATGACGGTAATTAGCTAAATTGGGTAACACAAGCCATACGTTAAACACTTTAATTTCAGAACTCCACCAGACTTGGATTGGATCCCCCTCTACTGCTCAATTCCCATACACACAGTTAAATAAAAAACATTATTATGAACAAAAGTCAAAAGTATCATCCATCCAATTTAATTCATCCTAATGCTAAAGATTTATCCATAATGGAGCTAAAGATAGACTTCTTGTTCTTTAATGTACGTTTCAATTGAGATTTCCACAGTGTCCTTTAAAGTTTTTAAGATTGAAGTTAGCTGTCAGTATAGACGTATCTAAAATTTGAAGGTGGCGAATGTCATAATTTCCTTTAATGTATACCTTGTAATGACTAATATGAAATTTATTAGGAATATTTATTCGATTTTTTTGAATTTATCCGGATCAACCTAATAGGTATTTTTATTGCAAGTACAAAAATTACATCTCAGATATTAAAAAAATAAAATTAATTAGCATTTTTAATAAAGGATCACATCTTTATTATAATAACACAAGTAAAATCAATATTTTCACTAGAAAAATATCTTTTTCTGTATATTAAAAATAAATTTACATAAGTAAAATAACATCTTCAACAAGGGAATTACATCAATTAGAATAATAAAATTTAAAAAACTATCTTTAATAGATAAATTATATCCCATAAGTATATAATTAAATAAACTACAAGTTCCTAAAAATCAAAATCATAAATCTCTTATTTTAAAGCAATGCTTACAAAATTTTTATCATAATTTAATAGTAAAGAGATTTAAATTATATTTAATAACTATAGAATAACATAAATTTTTATTATATAATAAGTAAAGATGAATATTTTTTTTTATCTCAATCCAAAATTCCCATTAAGGCCCAAGTTTTTCTGATTTGAAAGAAGAAAACGCATAAACTTGAGATAAAGAGGAATGCTTATTTTATGGAATTTTAAATTTTTGGAATCTCTTTTTTGAGTGTTCTTGCTATAAAAATAATAAAACGATAAATAAAAAATTGGGAGGTAACCGAAAGAGGAATAACCGGGACAAATGAAATAAAAAGTACAAAGAAAAGGAAAAGTCGGACAAGGTTCAAGATAAATTCCAACTTGAACTTTACACACGAAAATAACTTTTCAAAAAGGTCTATCAGTCATGACACCTTTATCTAGTTTACGGATGTGGGTGACACGATCATATATTTAACCTATTTTAAGAAAATTTCAGCATAGGTATGTAAAATATTTATCATCTTAGCAGGTGCCATGCCACCTCCAACCTAAAGGGGTGGATCCGCCCTGGTTGCCAAAATTTTCCCATATGAAATTTTTTTGACAATTGCCATGAAAGTTTTAGGCGATTTTCATGAAATTTTCTGGCAATTGCCGTGTTTTTGCAAATCCTGACGGTTACCATATGAAAAGTTCTGGCGCTCATCATGCTTTTTTGTGACAATCCTCNAGGAGCTCAGACTTCCTTAGAAGGAGATAAGCTAGAACTATCTTTGTATGTACGGGTCTCGGTATCGAAAATTCTGACGACCGCTTTCTAAAATTCTAGCGTAAATTATTTTCTCAAGACTTTTCTTCAAGGGTGCCAAAAGTCAATAGCGACATAGAAATGTCCTATTTCTGTCAATTTCCCAATTCGTCTAGCGTAAGTTTATGGATTATGCCTTGGAACATTTGAATTCAATATTTGGGGTTGCTGATTCCGACCATCACTATTTGCTCAACCAAGAGTCACTGGGCCCTTCCTATGTGCAAAGGGCCTTCTACATGAAGCCCAGTTAGGCAGTTGATTGAAATTTTTTTCTATATATACTAAATTATAAATTTATTTATTCCTTATAAAGAGGTTATTACTTAATTACATTATCATATACAATTTACTATTTATATCCAAAATAATATATTAGACTCCAATGTTATCCATTTTGGACTTTATTCTTCTTTATTTTTCTTCTCTTTATAGATATTTCTCTCTTAGTTCCTTTTCAATTCGCCTTTTGTAGATAAACATGTTCGGAGCTTTGAAGAATGATAAAGATAAATGATTCAACTGGTTAAAAGCCATATAATGCATACATTAAGCACCAATACAAATGGGTTACCAGAACTTTTTTTTAGATGAATAAACAAGATATTGTCTACAGGAGTGGCGTTTGGAACTAAAATAAACTAATTGACAGTGTAATTCACCCCATTTTTCCTCCGTAGGATGCTGTGACGACACGTAGTCTCTAAGACTAGGTAAGCCTAACAAACATGCGGAATAACTGAAACAATAATTTAAAGTCTCAAAACTTCAACAAATATATAAAATAAAATCTGCAACTCAACGTGTACAACTCCCAAAACCTGGCGAAATATAAGTCACAAGCTCTATTGTTACGCCCCACAGTATTATGTCGATGTTATGCCCCGCAGTATTATATTACGACGATATTACATCCTGTAGTATTATACGTGAAATTGTCGTAAGATAATTGACCTCAGTTCAAGGACAAGATTATTTGGAGATTATAGGAATTATGCTATTTTAAATAAGCGATGAGTAAATTCGTGAAGGTGAGAGGATAAGCAAATCGAAGAAAATGAATTTTCAATGAAGTTTGACATTTTGGGATAAAATGTGGCTCGAGCTAAAATACCCGATATTTATGGACTAGTGTCAGACAAGGTACTACATGACCATGATAGTAAGGTGTATAAGGTATGTTAAAAGTGAGTAGTATTTTAAGTAGGTTGAGATAATTCATAATTATGTGGGCAATGAGATATTACCTAATTAATTAGGGATATATCGGATAAGGATTAAAATGGATTATGTGCCCCCTTCAAATTAAGTGACTCATACATTTAGTTGAAAGGTGGCAAACTAAAAGGTTAAGTACAAGACACTACATCTTCCTACGTGTAAAGACATAAAAGTTTGGCATTTGGACTTTAAATATTTAAGTAAGTGATCTTATAATGTTTTTCCATTTGCAGAGATTACAAAATATACGCTAAGAATATATAAAGAGAATCCATAACATTTCAACCAACTCCTACAAGGATTATTATTACATAAGTTAAGAGAAAATCACATAAGCTTGCAAAAAGCTTACGAATGAAGCTCTAAATTCCAAGAATCTCTTTACTTATCTATAAAACTCCTAATTCACAAAGAAACGTGAATTGGAATTAAGCAAAGTAACGAATTTTGGGCAAAATTTTCATACAAAGTTATACTGCGTAATAGCAACGGGATTTGTAATTCTAAGAGAGCACGACACAATCTTTCTCAATAACATCATATGGATTTTTCCCTACTTCGATCCGCCGTTACATGTTTTTCGCAAAAGAAGTTGGTTAGAGGGATTGTTAAGAGAATCGGCTCAAGTATGTTAAGGCTATCCCTTTTTTCTTTTTGGCATGATCAATACGATACAAACGAAACGAGCAAATGCACAATTTCCATAAATGAATTTATTCATAGAAATACTAGAGATTCTTATGTTCTTGATTCCCCATGTGTCATATTATTCTATCATCTGTTCATGGGTCTCAGAAAATACGTAAGTTGATAAAGTTTGTTTCATGATATTACTCAAAGGCATAATGGTCTTATGACACTCCAAAAGATTTTATTGACGCACTTCCCATGTA